TATAAATAAAATTGTAAAATGCTTCTTTTTGTTTGTCTACCGCGTTTTAAACATATCGACGGTTTTCTTCCATTTTATCTGTACCGTTTGTCCGTTTTTCCACGAATCATCTTCATATCCATGAAGAAAGAAAACTAGTGATTGGCGCGTTGCTCGTAAGAATAGAACGAGATTCACGTGTCGAACAGATAAGTGACGTCGATCTTTTTCTTCGTTCATAGATATCTGCGAAACATGAATGAAACGATTGATGTATTCGCAGGCGTTGCGTCCAAAAGATTAAATTGCCAACTTGAGAAAGTGTATTGTGCCAAAACAACGCGCGCGCGCGTCATTATATTAACAAATATCAAATATTCCAAATTTTTAGATGTTAGAAAATAATTTTTATAGATGATAATAGATGTCTTCATTCACCATTTTACTAATTTTCACTAATTCCTTTATATTTATTAATTAATTTATAATTTTTAATTATTATATACTGTAATTTATAATTATTATATACTTTATTAATATTATATTTTATATATATATATATATACACACATATATATATATATATATATATATAATATATATGCTTATGTGTGAATTTGATAAATTAGATTTTTTTATATTCACATGAACTCTTCCCTAACTGTTCTTTGTAAGAAGGTGAGCTCGTTTCAACTCTAACAGTGACATTTCCTGATTCGATGTGATTTGCGCTTATCACGTTCACAACGACTGCAACTAAGCTGTTGTTCTTACTAGTTAATATACCACACTTCCGGCTGTAATCTTGAATTTAACATACACTCATTCGTTTCTTTGTCTAATGTCTGTAATAAGAGATTGCGATAAAATCTCGTATACATGATAATATTTTCATGTTTCCGAAAAAGAGGTAATTGAGATATGTATTCTTTAACAAAATTACTCATCTAAAATATATTTTTTCAATAAGTTTTAATCTCTCACATGCAGTGTCATTTCGGCAGCATGTGTTTTCATGTGTAAACGAGGTCGATCTTGATCCGAAAAGATTACGGAGGCCGTCATTTCAGTTACGTCAACGATGAAGAATTCCATACTACCGATGATGAAAAACGGAGTGGTAGTTTCTACTTTTTACGTGGCCGAAGTGTTTTCGTTACGACGACAGTATGTTTGCTTAAGATCGTCCATTCGGTAAAGACTCTCAAGCCTCCCTTCGATCCATCCGAGAAGAAGAGTTCATCTCTTGCGTTCCCTCGAACGCAAGCGGATAATAATCTATAATTATCTTAGGCATAACAGAAGGAACGCCATGCTGCGCATTCGGTGCTTCGTAAATAATTATTAAAAAAGGGAGCAGAACCGGATCGGCAGGTTGATGGAAGGTATCCGAATATGCGATCGATCGGATTGAAGTACAAATGAACTTCTCATTTTCCGCTCGAAAGACCGTCTTTTCCTTGGCCATATTCTGTCACACGTTCTGTATTAAAAGAACATATCCTTGAATATGGGCAAAGATCTTGGATGAGTTGTATCCTGATTATGGGCTATTGTGTATCCGCCGTTCGTCATCATGCGGGGTCTCTTCCACGGTGAAAAAGCCTTGACGAAGATGTTGCCTGCTTCGTGCCCGCTTCTTTTCTATCTCTTCCTCGTGTCGCACAATCATGCGGGTGAAACGACGTATTAATTAACGCAACGCACAATTTATTGTGTGTTTTTTCCATCCAGCTTTCCAAGAATAAAGAAAACCGGAGCGAGAAGAAAACAGATAATATGTCGGCCGTGAATTTAGATTGGCAGCAACTGTACTAAATGAATGTCCTAATTTATGCATTTATGTGTGTGTGTGTAATGTCATGCGTATTTAAATACTATTATATTATATTTAAATACTATAAAGATAACATTAATTTGGTTATATAAATGGCAAAGTAATGATTAATGATTCTCGAATAAATATACATAATTACGAGTCTTGGACAAAGTGCAACAATATTAAAAGTACTTAACCGTAAGAAAAAAATACTTTTGCTGCATAAGTTATTACTATTACATAGATATAGATGAATAAAAAGGCTATACAAATAAATTGTTGAAATTTCTGACCGCTATTTTTATAAATGGACACATTTAACACTTTAAAATAAGTATCATCAGATGGTATATGATATGCAGTAAAATCCGTAACCACACGTCCTTGGATCACAAGCATCTCCATGCGAATCTGAAAGGTCCGATATGTCGTGAATTCGACCTTCCTCGAGTCACCGATGCGAGAAACGTTTTTGCTCCGAGGGAATCGCAGGACAATGAACGTTTCGAAACCTAACACTATCATATATGTCGCGTCAATGATAATTTCGTCACTTCTGATTGTCATCTTTACACAATACACAAGTCTAATTTATTTTATAAAACAATATATCATAGAAATAAAATTGATAAAAAATATGGCAAAAGCAACGCAAATATTAATTAAATATATATGATAGAAGCAAAGACAAGATAAGTAATAAAAAATTCATTGCAGCAATGCAACACATATATATGTATATAAAATTTGATAGAGGGAAACTTGACATTTAACTGAGACAACAAAATGTGGTTTATCGGATTCGAACAGCGCATTGTAGAATCGTAAAGAAACCGGAAACACGGCCTACCGCGCCGGATATTGCAAGGGTCAGGACAGGTCTGTGAGACCAAAGGCGTAACGAGATATAAAATTCAATCTCGTGTTACATGTACATACAAGTACACAGCTCGTTGTTTTAATATAATATATTACATATTCAGTCATTTTTCTGATCATCATAATCATTATAATTATATTAAAGATAAAAAAAAATAAAGAGCACAAAAAAATTTTGAAAAAAGATATAAAATATACGATTTTTAAGTAATCTCTCACATGTCTAGTATTACAGTGTTAATTGCGAAAAATATGGAGCTCACGCGCGAGTCGGTAATTGGTTCCGAAGCTTCTCTGAAAACGTACCGCTTAATCCTGAACGAACGACAAAAAAGTCTTGCGTAGATCGGCAGCGCGATTAAGTGGATCCGCCATGGTTACCACGGCATTTAGTTTTTCATTGCGTATTGTGAACGCGATTGCAACGAGTGACATCTCAGTATGCGGGGTTCTTACAGAGGATTCTCGTCTCGTCGACAAAAACTATGGGACTGCTTGTATCTTGTGCTTTGAAAACAAGGGTCTCGTCGCTGCTTTCTATTACTTATCTATAAAAAGCTACTTCTTATCGCGATGAAGACACTTTGAAAATTTATCACAACATTTATACATCTCGTAATTAAAAGTTTATTCTCAGGCAATGTATAAAATTGTATTCAACATTGCCTGTACTTTTTGGATTAAATAGAGAATCATTGCAATTGTAATCGGAATGTGTGTTCATTAAATATCTATTTTGCATATTCTACCAATTAAAATAAAATAAAAATACCCGTACAATATCTGATCCTAGAGACGAACATTGTCGATATATCTCGGACGGGCTAACGGAAGCGATTATACGTTTTGCGAACGACCTTTGCAACCCGCGTGCGAAACAGGTCAGACAAGCACAAATACAATGAAAATTCTTCGTTAAGCATCGAGGAGAATCGCGCGAATGTGATATCTAGAGCTCAAGTGGAAACGAGGATAGTTTGTGTGAGTGCAATAACATTTTTAAATACACCGACCCTGATCGTAATCAAGCGTGCGAAATTGCAAAAAACACTTATTCGCCCTAGAAAATTCTTTTAATTTGCCACTTGCAATCCATTGTATTATTTTATCACCATAAATTTTTTTAACACACACACATACATATATATATATATATATATATATATATATATATATATATGTAATACATTTTTATTAAATTCGTCATTAGATTTCGAAATAATTATGTTGGATAAAAAAAAATTAATTCAAAGTAATATCATTTTCAAGGATGTCCAGTGTTTCTAAAAAGCCAAGATTTCGAATGACAGTAAGCATGTGTTTGGCTACGGTCTGTGCAGATGGCGAAGAAAAATATGCCCTACCTAAATGCCATCCTGGGACGAAGGCCCTCAGAGAGAGAATCATGTTTCTGTCCGCGCAAAAAGAGACGCGAAACCGCACAGTACGTCATGCAGTTACACTATAGCACAGACTTTAGAAGCCGTGAGAAATTATGCGGCCGTCATTAAAACTGGTCCCAGTTGCACAAGTCATAAATATTTGAAATACTTATCTCGCAAGTCAAACAGTTATTAGTCCGATAACACATTAATTATTACAATCTTAAATTTGCAAAACATTTCCTTTAGTATTTTACAGTTATAAAATTCAAAGAAAATCTCACTATCGCATTATTTCTTATAATTATATTAATTTTTATGGTCATGCATAAAACAAAAATATGATATATTGTTAATTACAACAAATAATCATAGATTAAATATGTGATAAATTCATCAAATGCCATCATGCAGATACACACGTGATACAGCTGTTAATAAGTGCTCGGGAAACGTGTTGCTCTCGTTCTTGCTAAACCGCTTTACGTCACTCAGTGAACTGCTATAAAGCGTTTTTTATCCTATTTTACTTTATTAAACGCAGCATCGCTACTTTTTATACTCTCCCGCGTTGTTCTTAATCATCTCCCGCAGACGACACGAAACCACCCGCTCATTTTACCGCAATAATAGCTCTATCATGCGTTCATTATTATACCACATTATATATTAATTAAAATACATTTAAATATAAAAAATTCTAAATAATCTTCATTTATCAAATAACTGTGTCTTATATAAGCAATACTTTATATTGCCATATAAAATAAATAAAAAACTTGTCACGGAAATATTAATTTGGAATCGATTTTCTTTGTAACACGTAGATTGCTGGGGGGTCTGGAATCCTCTGATTTCCGGATAAATGATTTTGCGGAAGAGTTCGCCGTAAACAACAACTTTTATAAGCGGATGTGGGAAACTAATCACAAAGTACTCACCTGTTGGGGTGCGGTATCAGCCGGGGAAAAGCTCGACAGGGCGGTTAAGGGTACCAGGGAGGCGCATGAGGACGCTCTCGAGGGTGGTGGTGTGTGACCGGGGGTAGGACTTCCGCTTCCGCAACTACTCGCGCCGCCGCTGGATGAGAGGCTCACGCTATCCGCCCGTCCTCTCCACGGTGAGACCGACACGTGTTTCAACATTCCTCCTTATTCTTATCTGAAATCAGGATTCATGGATCGTTTAAATCGCATTAAATCGCAAACATTGAACTGCGAGAAAGGACATATAATTATAATTGTCTATTCGATCAATTATTTGTACGTATCAAGAATTTATCTGTACATATGTTTTTTATTTTTTTACTTATAATTATGCCCGGCTAATTTATATTGAAATTAGAAATAATCTCTTATAATAATAATAAAATTATTAGCGGACACTGACTTACAAAGACTGACTTTATAATGTAAAAAGATCATATTGACAACAATAATTTCACGATCTTTATCGCAAATTTGAATTTAAAACTACTGTGGAAGAGCATTGAAAAAAACACGAGTGAAACTGTCCATTATGAGTTTCACTTTGGTATGGATTTCCGGCAATGTATTCGTAACAGCGTTTGCTGGAAGTCGCATAGCAGAACGTTTCAATTAATCTCTTTGTGCATTTCCTCTCGCAAGGTCGTAGAAAAACTATAATTGGTCCATTCGATAAGTAGTGTCCAACGACTGTGATTGCTGGACTGAACAAATGTGGAAAGTGGTGAGAAGCCCGCTGGTAGAAAAACCGGGCGGTTACATTTTAAACGCGTCCGTGTAATTTGATGTCGGAGTGAAACCAGACGGTTGCAATATCCAAACTGACGTTTACACACGCCTACCTTTTCGAAAGCGAGGAAACCCTACATAGAGGTAAATACTAGAAATTCGCAGATGGAAGCCAGAAGCTCGCAGACACATATGCAAAATATATACATACGTTCTCGCCAAAAAGATGTTGAAATGAAACTAAATCTCTGAAGAAAAAATCTCATTCTTCGCTTTCGTTATTAATACTATTATTACCGATTATTTTATATTCCTTTAAGAAATTTTTTCTCTTAAAAAGCGAATTAATAAGTAGGAAAAATATTAATTTTTACACACACACAAATATTACTTTTAACAAAAATTCAGAAGCTGAGTTTTTCTATTCAATTTTCGAACATATATTAAATAAACTCTAATTATATATCCCATGGAATTTCTTAATTGCATGTAATCGTAATAGGAAATATTAATGCTTTCCGGATGCGTCATCAACAAATCGACGTGTTTTGATCACGTGCATCCGAAGGATATGAGCGTCGTGGGAGAAAAGAAGACTGTGCATATATACTTTTGATTTTTCGAGAAAGAGAAAGATTTTGTAAAATATCAAATACAAATGTTGTTAGTTTCTATGAGTTATATACTTACTTTGACTGAATTTTATCAGGTAGCGATCCGCGCACTCAACACGGAAATTTAAAATCGACAAATATACGACATCGAGATCATCTAAGTTCACTGTCTTACAATTAAATTAGAAAGCAATTTACGCGATAGTCACAATACACCAACGAATTCACCACAATCTCGACGGCGAGATTATACGAGGAGAGACTTCCGGCATGCATTTCGCGCGATGACATTCAGTTTCGCGCAAATCGCTCCGCACATTTCGACCGAAACGTCGTTATTCAGAGAGTCATCGAATGATCGGATGTGTAACGAGACGTCTCCTTCTTCCCCCCGAGAAGAATTTGAACAGAGTTCGAAGTCGATTTGCTTCAAACACGACGAATGCACCACGATGTGCCCTCGTCGAGCGTTCTGACGCGACTGGCGAGAACGCACGAGTAAACCAACATAGTAAGCCGCGCGCCGGCGGATGGAAGGAGGTGGAGGAAAGAGAACGACCTTCTTGTTTGTGTAACGCCGCTGTGCATTTGTGTGTCTGTATGTGCGCCGAGAAATTGCGGGGGTGACGACGATATTCGCGTTGTTCATGATGACGAGAAGGGCGTATGTCCACGGAACCAGTCGCTCCTGAGGAGGTCCAGGCCGTACTCTCAGCTCCAAGACTCTTCCTTGTCACGGCGAGAAGATAAAACGTCCCTCTAGAATATGAAGAAGAAAGATGACAATGGTAAATTGAATATCTTTATGCAAGATTTTAAATTGCAATTTTTATAATAATTTGGACATATAATATTATATAATTTTAATAATAGTCTGATTTATATTAATTATTTATATTATATTAATTATTTTATTTATATTATATAATTATTTATATTAATTATTTATATTATTTATAGGTTTATATATTTTGAATATAAACTGATACGATATTGAAAAAAATATTAATATTTTATAAAATTTTTATTATACTAAATCAGATTACACAACATCTTGGATAATTCTTTTTTTTTATATTTTGAGATTTTTTTATATATTATATTTATTGTATGTGTGTATGTGTATTTATATATTTATACATATATGCAAATTACTATTAATTGTGATCACCCAAATTACTATTAATTGTGATCACACGAAATAACTTGCGAGGATAAGGATCTCTAAGAGAAAGCGTTCGAAAGCCTGCCTTATGATTCTTTATAGTCCTTACTATAAAAATAAATTAGGATTCAGATGTTACGTGATGCACATAGCAAGTTCCGCGTTGTATTGTTGAGACAGAGTATATCGCAGAGTCTCGCATCCTTTCGTGGGGAAAGAATCCGACAGACCCCTCGGTTGTTACGGATAAGCACGTCCGGCAATTTTATTAGTAATTCCGCGCAAAAATACCCCACGGATTCGAAACTGAGGTAAGAGACATGTGTAAGAAGCTATTACGTGATGGCGGTAGCGCGTTCTCGTCAAGATAATCATCATCACAGGATCCGAGAATGTCGCGATTGCGATTTAACATCCGCCACACATGAGTCTTTCACCTGTCAGCAATCATTTTTTCGCCAACGTGCCTACTTTTTCATCTGCAATCGTGAAACGGGAAATCCCGCGAAATAATGAATGAAATACCATTTTCTCGCTCGCACGCAGTGCAGCACAAAATTGATCGATCGTTTTCTTGTGCTGTTCGTAGAAAGGTTAAATCAGATTCCGCGACAAGGCCAACTAGCTGATATTCAAGCGATCGGGCCATTCGTGGAGTTAGAGACCGCTTATCTCTTTGACTGGTTGGTGCTCGACCAACAAATCTTCGTCCCTACCTCCTCACGACGATATTTTACATACACGCCTGTACTTGCCACATTCGAAAAGAAGAGGAAAAAAAATAAAACGCGAGAGGTGCGTCCTACGTGATCGCCCGACTGCATGGGCGTCGAGTTCATGCCGAGGAAAGAGAGGTTTACGTCTCGGCGAGGGAAAAGCGAGAAACATACGTGGGAGTTGGCTCGATTCACTGAATAGTAATACGTGTGCGCTTCCCCGATTCCTTTTAATAAACTTGTTATATCGCGCGATACAGGCGCCCGTCAGGAAAAACAATGATTCGTGACCTGAGAAATTCGTCATTTCGTGGAAGCTTTATATTTATAGTCACCATTATATTCCGAGATCATTTGCATTTGCATTTACGTCAGTCTAGATGCAATCGTGCTTATTCTCGCACCGGAAGAACGAATAAATCTTCATCTTCCGGTGCGTTGCGTCTCACGATTGAATTTTCCAACCAATATAACAAATACGTTGCACTTTCCGATAGTGGTCCTTTAAAGTGATTTATTATAAAACCATCTGAAAGAAGCACTTGCCGATCAGTTCACAGGTAGGTGAATGTGTAGGTTTCGAAAGGAAGGAGCTCGCGATTAGGCACCTGGGTGGCATTCACGGTGTAGCCAAGTACAATGTGGGGTGGTCGACACATGTAATTCGAGGCCAATCTGAAATGCGTAGACGCGCCGAAAATAAGGGATGTATATGAAAGTAATAAATCTGGACTGAAATTGTACAGATTATCTAAAAGTTATCTCTCTATTAAATTTTTATTTAATGAATTCAACTTTTCCCAATTAAAATGCAAAACATGTGCAATATCACAATACTTGCTAATCTTTTATTTATCTCAATTAATTTTTTTTTAATTAAAAAATTGCTGTTGCAATTGTAAGATCATCTTTTTTAATGCATCTAACTCGTAAATGATTTTTCCGAAGACTTACGCATCGCACGCGCCGCGCTCAATTCCTCGAATTTTTTCCTTCGATTCTACTGGGGTCGAGGACCGACAGTCGTAGAAAAACATTGCTCGTATCTAACGGCGGCATGTTTGTAAGAAGCGCGAATGACTTTGGTCTCGAGACGGCATGAGAGAGTTCCACGGCTGCAGCCACGCGTACTATCGCGATTCGGTCGTGCAACACGCCTTTTGTCGCGAACACAAGGGACCTCACTGTGAAAGGTCTTTCCACCATCAGCTCTAGCTTCGTCCGCGACGATCTCGAGGAGAAAATTCAATTAACCGCGCCAAGCTAGATCGCCGCTGGTGCAGCTGCAATCAGTAGATAAGTCTCGTGAATGCACGCGTGCACGGCCGACAATGCGAAACGTGTGCGCACATATATATGTTGAGTCTCGTTAAGTCAGCACAGATTTATCGCGCGAAAGGTACGTACCTTACGACCCTCAATCTTGCGCGTCGAGCAGCTTTTGTGACGAATAATTTTCATATATCGTGAACTACCTTCTGTTGTACAAAATACGATATTTATATTCAAAATAATATTTATATTGAAGTTAATTTTGATTGATTATTTGATATAAAAATCTATAACTATCTATAAATGAAAAATTTTAGAATATCGATATCTGTTAAAAGATATAAAATCGTTTGCATATATATAATATTTGAATATTGCAAAAAATTAATCAATCTCTTTCTCTCTTTCTCTCGTGAACTTGATCGTTTTTTAATCATATTTATTTTTAACATTCAATTTTTTCAAATTTAGTTTCAATATATAATGTTTCCACATAAATTCAAGATTAAATTAAATGATTATCGTATATAAATTAAATGATTATCGTATGATTATGACGTTAAAAATGGACTCTGGAAGTATAATCATTGCAACGATGTTTCAGTGAAAAGCTGCAATCATATTTTTCATCATTTTCAACGTATGATGTAACAAAATTAAATAAATTACATAGCATTATAGTTAAGTGCCTAACGTTTACCAGTTTAGCCTATGAAATCTGCTTACAAGTACTCGCTGATAATGCTATGCAATTTATCTGCGTTACATCATTTAGATTTAAAAATAATCAAAAATACATGAGCGAAACGTTCTTCTGAAAACACTGACATTCGTTTCACGATTGTAATTTTTACTATACAATTTTCGCATCACCTGCTGTTCTTGATTTTACTATTGTATGTAATTATTTAACGAATTTTGATTTATGAGGAATTAAACGATCGACAATAGGGAAATCAGCGCATCTATGCAAATTCCACGAAGTCAATTTGTCACAGGAGAGGAAGTGTGAGAGGAGTAATCGGAACCATGGTGGTCAGTTTAACCGTGTATATCGAGCAGCGACGAGCATGACGGACTATAGTATGCGCAGGATACTATGAGACTTTAGTGGAGCGCACGATGCACGGTCCAGTCCGGTGAATCCCATGGTGTAGCGTTACTTTCCCACAGGCGAGGCTCTTCCTCTGTGTATGTGCGATTCTTCCCAGTCATGAATCTATCATGCACCTGCACACGCCGATTTGCGTGTATGAGAGTACGAAGCGAGGGGGATACGAAAAGGACATGTATCTTTTGCGAGACAAACCTGTTGTCCCTCAGTTCGCCGAAACTGAAGATGGACGTAACCGAGTGTTACCGCTTGAAAAATAATTTCCACCTTCTGGAGCCATCAATTTCGGCGATGTAGGAAGCTGGGAACGAAACGTCTCACGGAGGAAAATGAACAAACCGGAAGAGAAAAGATGGTATTACTATAACTGCAAATTTCGATGCGTGCAACGACAGCGGAATTTATATTGTTATATTGACACGTTTCGTTGAAATTTTTGGGAGAAAAAATAATTAATTGCACAAAAAGAATGCAAAAAATGTAATAATAAACACAATATAAATTTAAATATAAAATATAATTAGAATTAATAATATTGTTAAGTGTGTATATATGTAAGATAAATTAATATTAATTAATATTATTTTATAAACACAATGATTATTAATATTAAAATTATCTAAATATTACAATACATAATGCATTCTTTTATTGTGCGAATATTTTGATATAATTACGTCTTAATGAAAAATAATATCCATAGTAAAATCCATGATGACCATGGAAGAAAAAAATATGTGTTTAGAGTTCCCCTCCAAATATATGTATATACACGAAACATGAAATAGTTCTGAAAATGAGTTCTGTCACGTAAAGCGAAAGTTGAATCTTGCCACATCATGAATTGTCATTAAAATATACATCAATCATGACCAAAATGTAACTTCAATTTTTGCAAAGATTAATAGTATAATAATATATATAATAATATATAATATTTTCTATAAAAATGCATCTCGATCCTCGATATTATTCACTTTTCTTATGTCTTCTTTATATATCTCTGAAGATATGTGTAATTAATAATAAAGTCAAAATGTTGATATATTCAGATGAAAAATATTCAGATGGAAGATATAAATTATTCACATATAAAATAATAAAATAATATTTAGACAAAAGTTTAATTATGTTTTATACTAGCATTAAAATTATACTTAAAATTTATTATGTTGAAATTTCGCAAGCAATAAGAGAATTTAAAAAAATCCTTCTCTCGTTCTGTTGGG